TGGGCTTTTTTTTCCCACTTCTGATCTCTTCCTACATGAAGAATCTGCCAAGGGTGAATCAAGCAAATCCTAAATTTGCTTGATTCACAGTGGAAGCACTGAAACCAGTCTGGGTGACCTAATTTCTGAGTCTGACACAAGCTTTAACATTTTCCTGCAGGTACGACTTTGCCAATTCCAACATCAACGATGAATACCTGAACAAAATGAACCCGCACCATCTTCCTGATGTGGTAAGTTTTTATCTAAAAACCCAGATATTTAGCTTTTTTTTTTTTTACAAACTCTGCCACCTTGTGGACAAAAGAAAACACTGCCTCTAAATCTGTCAATATCAGAGGATCCTGTTCTCATGTTGTTGTCTGTATTTGTATTCTTTCCCTTTGGACTGTAAAAGGTGCTGATCAAGAAGAGTTACGACCGCAGCAGGAGAGTGAAGCGCAGGAACTGGAAGCTGCAGGAGATGGCCAGAGACCGGGAAGGCATGGACACAGATGACGAGAGGTGGGATGTTTGATTTTAATTTGCATGTTTTAAATCCAGGATAAAAAAAAGTTCTTTGGATAGTTTTTCCTCTCTTGTGTCCTGCAGTTTTATAAAATTCACCTGTAGTTTTTTTAATTGGTGAATTTATTTGAGATTCACAGCAGGATGTTCATAGCGGGTCGCCTGTTGACTGTTAGTTTCTGAGCAATTTTTAGATTACTTTCATCTGCAGATTTATTTTTCATTTAATCTAGTGCCCTAATCTAAGCACTTTGGATCGCTAAAAGGTGACTAATTTATTTATGAATAGCTCAAAAACGTGCTAAATATCCTGTTGATGTTGATTTTCTTGTGTGCGCAAGTTTATTTACCGTGATTTTGTTTTTCCCTTTTCTCCCTTTAGACAATACCAGGACTTCCTGGAGGACCTGGAGGAAGACGAGGCATTGAGGAAAAATGTCAACATCTACAGAGGTGAGCTTAATGCAGCTTCAGTTCAGCAAAAAAAAAAAAAAAGTCACACCAAGACGAATGGATCCAATTTATATTGGATTATATTAACTGTAATGTGGTTCAAATTCAAAAAAATCTATTTGAGTAATTAAATGCAGTCTTAATTATAATAAAATATAGTTAGAATTAGTTAACCATATCACGTGTGGATGGAAAGTACTATTTAATTTCATTTTTGTCAGATTGCAGCTCAGTAATTGGCATCTGCTGCCTATTTTTTTTGTAAAATCACTCATTTTAAGACTTGGATTTTCTTTAGTTAATGAGCGATTTTTTTTTTTTTTCCTTCCTACGTCAGACGCCTCAAAGATCCCAGTAGAGAGCGACACCGATGATGACGGAGCGCCGCGCATCTCCCTGATGGAGATGATGGAAGAGCTCAGCCTGACGGACGCCACAGGAGGAGAAGGAGCCGACATGATGACTGACTGACCGGCTCTTTCATAGTTCTGCGTGGCTTCAACATCGAATGTGTCAGATTCATGTCTGCTGAATGAACAAGCGACTACACACAGCTTAGTTTCGAACCTGCAGCATATTAAGGACAGAGAATGTCTGATAAGGCAGTAAAGAGTTTTTTGGACTGGTGCAATGATTTGTATCCTCACCGAGGCTCAAATAGTCTTTTACTAAGAAACGAGCCTTCCAGTATCACATTAATTAAATAATCTAATCTCTGTACCTGTAAATACTCATCTAAAATCCAAATAATAAATATACTTTATCAAAATAAATGTGACCTTTATATTTTTCTTTTTTTTTAAATATCCACCAGAGGGCGCTTTGGGGCAAAAACGACAAAAAAAACCAACATAGGGGTGATGCATTCATGCATCTCCACTTGCAGTAAGGTGAATCAGTAGGTCACAGAATGGTTTCATTTGGCTGCTGTGGCCAATATGCAAAACCCTTCATGTGGAAAGTATGTTGAAGTAAGGAGCGTTCGGTACATGCTTTGAAATCTGATGATGCTGGAGACATAAATTTGATTTATAATTTAGATTTCAGTGGCACCACTGTCTGTGGCCATTCCACCTCTCCAGATCGTCTCTGTTTATTGGCCAGACGTGTCCGTCGGCACTTCATCAATGGAACATTTACATTTCTCACCCAAAATCGGCTCGCGTATGCAAAAGAACTCCCAGAGATGGCTGTCAAGTAATGAAGTAAAGCTTTCAGGTCGTAAAGAGTTTATGTTGTTTTAAGGTTATGATATGGCAGCGATTATAAAATGGAAATGTTTGTGGTGCATGACCGGGTGCAAAGAAAACAAACTGAGAAGCGTTGAGTCCTGAGTGTGAAAAGCCGTCTGCACGCATTATGGAAAGTAAATTACAACTTTCTTGTGTTTTTACATAATGCGAGTTGGTTTTATTTATAAGATGACTTGCTTTTGTTGCCTCGGCTGCAGTAAAATGGATTTAAATGCTGCATCGCCTTGCCAAAGCGTTTATGATCCTGGAACCTTTCCACTTTTAATCTCACAACCACTAACTTTCATGTAGGCTGTTGGGATTTTATGCAACAGACCATCACAAATCAGTGCGTAGCGCTGAAGCAGAAGAAGATGCTGCGTTTTAATCATCTTGCTACAAATAACATTGTAAAAACTGCAACGTGCCTTTGCCTCATTTAAATAAAATTCAGTGAAATTCAGTTGGAAATGAGTAGATTGAGCTCTGTGTAGGTTAAGATCACAGAACTGCTTCTTTTTATACTGAAGACCTCAGAGAAACAAGTAACTAAGAAACACAGCAGACAAGCCAGGGAGAAAGATGTATAGAAGGTTGAAGCAGGGTTATGTTGGTGTAAGAGCCCTGAACATCTCATGAAAAACTAATCCATTCCCTAAAAATAGATTATGGCACGACTGCAAATCTTCCCAGGCTTGGAAACAATCATCTCATTTGTTTAGTTCACATTAGAAATGAGTTGATTGTTCTCATCACAAAGCGATCCAACGGATCTCCGTCCTCAGCTTCACAGGAGTCCAGAAAACAAGAGTACAGAGCCCTGTGGTGCTCCTGTGCTGCTGACAACCTGGTTAGACACACAGTCCTCCAGTCTCATAAACTGTGGTCTGTTTGTCAGGTAGTCACAGATCCAGGTGATCATTGAGGCCTCCACCTGAGTCTTCTGGAGTTTCTCACAGAGCAGATCAGGCTGAATTGTGCTAAATGCTCTGGAGAAACCAAAGAACGTGATCCTCACAGTGCTGCAGGTTTTGTCCAGATGACAGTGGTTTTGCTGCAGCAGGTGTGTGACGGCGTCTTCCCCTCCAACTCCAGATACTTAATGATGTGGGTTGTCAGGGCAACAGGTTGTTGATGATCGATGGGGGAAGGGGATTTTTCTTTGCACCAGAACCAAACGTATTATTTTTGAAGCACTTTCATGTGGTGTTTATCAGCAAGTGAAAGCAGTTGAATTGTTTTTCACGGATGTTTATTTTTATTTTTTATTTTTTAATTTTAAAGCAAGAAAAGCCAGGAATTATGTTTTGCTTTTGTTTTACCACCAGATTTGTTGTCTTCCTTCATATAATCATGTAGTCTATGCTGTGGAGGAACGTGTGTGTCGCCGTGTCTCGGTCTTTTGTGACACATCTCACATTTTACCTCGAGGAGAGCCGGTCTCATTTTTCGCAAACCTGAGCTCGTTGTTAACGGTAATCAGATCCACTTGGGAAAGTGAATGAAGTGAATCCACAGTGTGTGTATTTCACCATCACTATGTTTTTTGTTTTTTTTTTCATTCTTGCCTTTGCACAGAATACTTTGTCATCTTTAGCTCTTGTAAAGTAGCACTTTAAACTGTTTCAAGATGTTAGAGACAAACATTGTGTTCCTTGCTGATTCCTTGTGTTCATAATTTTCTAAATGCTACATAAAAGCAGGTCTGGACTCACAGGGTCGTTTTATCACTAATCTTAACCTGAAATCTGTTCGGACAGATTCAATTTCCATTTAAACCCCAACAAAACAAAAAAAATAAAGTGTATCCATGCATAACTGGTGCGCCTTATCGGCGCTGCTGTGTGTTTACACATCAATAATGCAGCGTCACAACCGAGCTTCTCAGCAAACCTACAATTAAGGAGATACGATTTCCTACCTCTGTTCGATCCCTTCCCCAAAATGAATCAGGTTGTCCTGCTTTAAAGTGGAAAGGGAGGCTTCCAGAAAGCAAACAAGGATGTCCGGGTATTCAGATTCTCTAGATTAGTGTATTTATTTCATCATTGGTCCTAAAGGCTCTGAAAATCTTTATATTGCTGCAGAAACTTCACACTGGGACTCAAGTAATTTGGATTTTGTGGCCTTCCATTCTTCCTCCTGGTCTTAATTATCCAATAAGATAAATAAGTCCTGAAAATAAATCTTTAGACCAGTGAGATTGAGTCCAGTCTTTTTCTTGTTAGCTAACTGCTGGAGCCGTCTATGGGTAAGAAGAGGCTTAACAAAAAAGAAACAGTTTTGTAACTTGTGTCCTGGATACATGCTCGTGATGCACAGACGTTACCACACTTTTTCCATCCACTAAACTTTCCACGGATATACTAAGATATGGCAATCTGTGGACAGCTAGCTTCTTTAGTAATGATCTCAAGTCTTTTATTCTCCTTGTGACTGGCATCACTACCCGCCTGCTGAACATGTCAGGTCAGCAGCCTTTCTTTTACTCTGTAAGCTACAACACAGCGATTACATCATAGTAGGGTGTGAAGAAATTCTACTTTTAAAGATGTTTATGATACATTCTAAATTCAAGAGAACCTAAATGTTGGTGGGAGTGGGGGGAGATCCCAGAGTTGGGTGGAAGAGTCAATATCAGGAGAAGCAAAATTCAAACTGGTTAAATCCAGTGTGTCTGTCATGAGGAGCCGTGTTGTTGGTCCACATACTTTCTAAATCGCCTTTTCAGTTTACTTAGAAGTCCTTGCAGTCAGATTTAGATTTTACGAGCAATCAGGTGCCTTTATACCGTTAAATGTTTCAGATTTGGTGTCTTTAATAATGACCAACCCGGTTACTGTGAGTGTGGAGCAGCTTGTTTTTCCATTCCGCTGCTGCTGCTGCCGTTGCTGCTCGCTGTGTCAGGAGGGGGGAGAGAGAGAGAGAGACTGCGGCGCAGCTTCTGGCTGCAGGATGGCGGGACAGCAGCGCCAAGGATGCGGCGCGGATTGGAGAAAAGTTTAGGGACGCCGCACATAGCGGCGCATCATGCATGGCGCGGAAGAAAAAGAAAAAAGTAAAAGAAAAACACAGCCGCAGCCCGGAATACATCGGCTCCCTTCTGCGCCCTCTGATGCACCAGCCGCTTCCTCTTGGCCGCGAATATTAGCGCACGCTGACCGGCCTATGCGTCAACCGGTCCGCCTCCTCCGCCTCCGTCGCTCCACCTGCATGATCGGCGAGCCAGGTGAAGGGTGAGTGTAAACACCAGCTGTGGGTGTGGTGCCATTTCCAGAGCATGTATGACGGCCGCGTGTATTTATGCACATGAGCGAGAGAGAGAGGTGGACTGGTGAGACGGCTGGTTTACAGAAAGCAGCGGAGCAGCAGGGGGGACGCGGGCTGCAGCTGGTCCTGTTGCAGAGGAGACAACCAGGGGGTTCCCACCGACTGAGGTCAGTAACAAACCCCTTCTTATATGTATAGGTATATATATTCAATCTAAAGCTTAATTGTAATTTCTGATTTGCTTTTGTTGAACTAAGCCGTCGGTCTGGGATTTATCTGTTTTTTGTTGTTGTCCACAATCTTCCTTTTTGTTAGCAGTCAAAATAGTAGATGTAAACAAGTCCAAACGGTGTTGTTTTTGTTGTTGTTGTTTTTTGTCTTTAGCTCATGCTTATGCAATCTTTATCCATGAATTTGGCCAAATCCTTTGTTAAAATTCCTTTGTAATTAAAGCCTTCCCTCCATTTTCTCTCAAAAAAACAAAAGCAAACACACGTTCACCTGTTGGCCCCTCCCTCCCTCCACAGTGACAGGAGCTATACTCACATCTGCACAAGTTTGATTGGAAATAATAAAATAAACATATCTTCCTTCAATGTGTGTAAAATGGAGCACTTGATCCCAGAGCAGAAACTATTATTGATGTAAGCCAGGGGTGTCCAAAGTGGGTCCTGGAGGGCCGGCATCCTGCATGTTTTAGTTCTGTCCCTGGTTTAACGCACCTGGATCAAATGATGGCTCATTAGAGGCCTAAGGAGAACATTGAGATGCTGGAAAGGTTATTACCACCACCAGGGAGAGAACTAAAACATGCAGGATGCCGGCCCTCCAGGACCCACTTTGGGCACCCATGATGTAAGCAAAGCTTAGAAAAACAGGTTCGGCCGTCTGATCGTCTGGGGGAAATTGCACAGCCGCTGCTTATATTTCCCTTGTGAAATGGTAAACCCAAGCGTGAGTGATGATAAGTGGTAACGGTTTTCAGGTCATGTGGGAGTGTGATTTAATTTGGTGTTGTTCCTGTAATCTGTTTTGTAAGGCTTTATTGATTTCAGGCCACTGGTGTGGTGGTGTTTTTTTTTTTTTTAGAGGTGCTTATGTCCAAGTAAAATTAGACATTAGATGTGGCGCCCTGTTGAGAATTTGATTTGGGCTCCACTTCCAGTCAAACCCATCAGCCATCACATTGTTGTGCATTTTAAGATTCTTGATTTTTGCATTAAGACAACAGATATATTGATTTAATAATAGAATTTGTTTCTTGAAATCTTACAGTCGGGTCAGATTCATTGTGTATGCGCCGATAAGTTTCAATGGAAAACGATAATTTATTGATCTGTTGTTTGATTTGCATTTATTTCCTCTGCTATGCAAGTCTGACACCATCACAGGCTCGTGTAGCAGAAGTGATTGGTGGATAGTAAACAAATTAAACTATAACTCTCACCTATCAGACTGTAAATGTTCCTAAGACTCACAACTAATAGTTACAGGGTTTTTTGTCAGTTCTTTTAAAGCCTAAATAAATGTGATCTAAAAAAAAAAAGAAAATATGTAAATCACTTAAAAGTTACCACTCAAACATCAGAAGTGGTGATGAAGTTGACTTATTTCTTTGGTCAACTTTGTGTTTGAGGAATCTTAAAAGTAATCTCTATTCACAAAAATAACGTTACAAGTGTCTTTTTGTGATAAACCAAAAATTGCTTTGTCTCAATGAAACTGGAAACGCAGGCCAACACGTATTTAACGTTGCGTTTGTTTTTGGATACACTCGAGTGCACACAGTACATTCCACATGTAACGTTAGCATGTATTTCCACTTGTAACAACCGTTCAATACGGAAAAATAGAACTGTAACATTGTTGCACTCCCATTTATTTGTGCTTGGGTTGACATTTAAATGCATGGTTCTGTGAAAAGTGTTGCTGTTTGTATCAATATTTTAACTTCTCCTCAGCAGCACGCACAGTCAGAACTTATGTTACAGTTCCAACTTTTAAATCTCATTCAAACCACTTCACTTTTCATTTCCTTTCACCTCTGTTTGCCCACTCCCCAGCTGGCAGGATGAACTTCAAAAACATGTGGGAGTACCTGGCCTGGCTCTACTACCAGTACCTGCTCATCACCGGCATCTACGTCCTGGAACCGTGGGAGAAGTCCATCTTTAACTCTGTCCTCTTCTCCGCCATTGCCATGGTGGTCTACACCTCGTACGTGTTCGTGCCCATCCACGTGCGTCTGGCTCTGGAGTTCTTCTCTGAGATCATCGACGGCCAACCGGAGAGCGCCGTGGCGCTCATGAACTGAAACGAAGGAGGAAAACGGAGGGAAAAGACTCATAAAAAAACAGAAGAAGAAGAAGGGGCGGCTTATAAAGCCTCTCCCTTCTTCACCGGAACCACAAGCCGGACACTTCATCGATACTGAAAACATGAAGATCTTGCCAGAATGATCTGGAAGCCTTACTCACGTCTTTTTGGATCCCACGCCCTCTGGCCTTACCCGATGGTATTACACAGCAGTGCTTTAATTTCCTGCACTATTGAAATGTTTGGTTTTCCTTTTCCTCCCCATATGTCCCGTTTGAGTGCATCCCACCTCCGGGTTTTGCATGATGGGGCCAAACGTGACAGGTGAATTTGCATGCTTGACAAACAACAAAGCACAACCGGTCTCTCTTTCTTCTGCAAACGTCATGAAGGTATCCCAGTAGCTCTGATTTTTAGCTGAATAAGATCTGGACAATATGGAATATATTTTTTTTTTCCAGAACTAAAGCAGTAAAGGTCATGAAACTTTTTTGTTAACTTTTCTTTCTCTTTTTCTTAATCTGGTTGTGTTTGAAATAACAAATGCAATATACTTAACATCTAACGGCACCCCACCTAAAGTTATATAAAAAGCCTCAGAATATTTAAATCTTTTACCAGAGTAACACAGTCTTTCACAAAACATGGAGAAATCTAACTTTTAATTTGAGAACATTTAAGTGGAGGAAAAAAAAATCCAACATCAAAAAAATGATTTACTCAGTTTCAACGATGTTCGCCTTCATTTGATAACTAAAAAGTAAGTGTATTTAAGCAGCTTTTTAAATTTATACTTTACTTTTTTAAGTTGATCTGAGCGTCTAATCACTTTTTTTTTGGTAAGACAAATGGGTTTCTTATCCACTATTCAAAATGGGAAAGATTAGAAAACCAATACTAAAACAAAAAAAATACCTCCAGGAATCAATTTCTTTCCCGCTTTTGCGGCATTTTCTCGCGCCAAGGTAGCATTTGGCTCTTCATCTGATATTTAATATGATGTAACACAGAGCCTTATTCTTTTTTATCCGTCCCTCAGACAAGATGTCTTGCAAAACAAGTCAGGCAAATGTGTGTTGAGCTTCATGTATTAGCAACAGTAAAACAGCTGCTTGCCTGTGTTTCCACATGTCTTCAAACAGCTGGAACTGTGGTGAATGAAGTCATTTGGCTTTGAGAAGGGAGATAAAAACAAATGTAAAGTTCAATTTTACATTAAATTTCACATAAAATTCAATTTTACATTAAATTTCACATAAAATTCTGATTAAAGTGGGAGAGTTTATCACAGCTGTGTTGACATGCACCAAATACTATGTTTTTAATTATGCTTGAGGAAATAAAAAGGGGAAAACTTTTTTTTTCTTTTTTCTGTTTCCTTGATGCACTGAAAAAGCAAACCTGAAACCTCGCAGCGCAGAAGCGATTATATTAGAAGAGAAAGCTTTAGCTATGCAACCGATGTGAACCTATCAGCTACATCTGGCCCCGAGTCTGTTTAGTTATGTGCCGATCAAAAGGAGCAATAAAAGAATAACAACGATGAAATGAGCCGAGTTTTCTTTATCTCAGTTTTTATATATATATATATATACACAATGGCATGACGGAAAGGTGTGCTGAGCACTGAACGGGGGACAAATATTGATTTAGCGCTCCTCTATGGCCGGGCTTGGCTTTGCTCGTGGCATAGCTATGCTTTGCACGTATTTGCTGTGTCACGCAGCTGGAAAATTAGTCGAAAGGAAAAAAAAAGTCTTCCTCGGCTGCAGCTGATCTGTAGAGATGACGCCTTGAGTCGTCGTGATTAGAATTGTGCATATTTCTGAGTTGAAGCTCGGCTTTAATTATTTGTGCTGTGGATCAAGGGCTCACTGATGACATGCTAATTTTATTTACGTATGTATTTATGTTCATTGGTAAATGCTTGGCTGGTTACAATGTCAGTTACCAAACGTTTTATTGCTCAATTATTTATGTCGAAGTCTCTTGTAGGCCATGATTACTGCATTGTTTGTTCTTTTATTTCTGCCTTAACGTGCTTTTTGTATTATTCCCAGTTTGTATTATGTTCCCTTGACTTTTGATAAACACTTTCATCAATGTGACACATTGTCCAGCAAGAATGAAGAGGCCTCTGAGATGCTTTTTTTTTCTCTCTCACAGTTTACCAAACTGGATGTTGTATTTCTACATGATAGCTACACGTCACTGTAGTAATCGCAAAAATAAAGGCATTGGATGACACTTATGCAGACGCTCTTTGTCTCTTTTTCGTGCTTGCTGTTTTTGCCACAACTGCTGGGAATAGTTTGAGGTACATGTTCACGTTGGATGTGGCTTCAGCTGCTTTGAAACAGAAGAAAGCCGAACAAAAAACCCCGACCTGAAACGCTTCACCACATGAGACGGATTTGGACAATAAGCGGACGAGCCACTAAACCAGTTCTTCAGAGCCGTGTTTGCCACGGTGAATCGAACACCTGCGTGGTGAGCTGCCCCTACCCACAGAGCTCTGGTGTCCTCAGGCCACGGTCTTTGTTTGACCCATTATAAAGTATGCAACACTGACTGACACACATGAATGCTCCTCCAGGCCATTTTTCGAATGCAGTGCCAAGAAAAGTAACGAGACCCGCAACTTTTATCACTTTTGCCACATTACAACTGCTACATTTGATGCATTTTCATTGGTATTTATGCAATAGTGCAAAACACAAGTACTGCATTATCACGGTGGTCATAGTAAGACGTGATTTTTTTTTCTACATATTTTCCAAATAAAAATTGAAATAGTACAAGTAATACGAAGCGTTTATTGGTTGTTGAGCCCATTCATTCTTTTTGGCAATATGGTTCGGGTATTGCCCAAAATACCTGAAATTTAATAATTTGATATAAAAAAAATTATTTGAATAAAATCTAAATTGTAAAAAAATTAAATTAGACTTGGGTGTCGGATTTGACTGGGCCATTCTAGCACAACCATTCCATTATCGCTCTCATCTGGCTAAGGTGAACTTTGACCCCAGTCTCTCAAGTCTTAGCTAAGATACTAATCGTTTTGCCAACAGATTCAACCACCTGAGTTGTGGATCTCTGCAGCTACCCCAAAGCGACCCTGGGCTACTTCTTTCATTAATGCTGCCATAGCTGTATTTTAAACTTATTCGTAGCTTTATCTGACCGATCTGGATACAGGCAGTACAGAGTAACCTCGATAATGTGGTCAAATTACACACAGGTGTTTAAGTGACCCCTGAAACTCACTGGCTGCACTGCTATCCAGAATAAAGGAGGATGAACGCAACTGCATGCCACGTTTTTTAGATATATTATAAAAATTTATTTAAAAAATCCCAATAAAAGTGGCGTGATTGCTTTTCCAGGGCACTTTACTTTTAATGCACATTTATGCCACATGAGGACGAGGATAGAGGCCTGAGTAGCAGCTTACCTGTGGTGAAGTTGGGCTACAGCAGGGCTGCTGTGTTTATGAGTTGTAACCGAACACCTTCACCTTGTATTTTTCCAGGATGTTGGAAGGCAATAGGTGCAACACCCTCAGTTGTCATCCCCCACGCATCCCAGCCCAACCAAAATGTCACTGCAAACCTCTGTCCTCCTCCTTACTTTCCTTTCTCTATGTCTTATTTGTTGTTTTTTTTTGTTGTTGTTGTTTTTTACCTTTCTTCGTCATAAAAAGTCGAGGCTTTTTCTCGTTCTGTGTCGGCGTAGCGTCTGTTTCCACCCCATGGTCTCTGAGGAGCAGCTTTTGCGTTGACACTGACCGTGTTAGTTTATGTCCCATGAATGTTAGAGGTGTAAACAAAGATGCCCACAGACTCCTAAACACTCAAGGAGACGGTTGGTGTCCTCTTTCTGCTGTGTTTACACGTGGCCCATTAGTGTTGTTCACCCAAACAATAGGAAAAGGTGCTGAGGTGGAAGGGAGACATACTTCAGCAACGTTCACACACAGCACACCTGACACAAAGGAAGACGCACATCTTTGTGTGTTTTTCTTTTCAACCTACAACGGCCCAGTTAGTGTTTAAAAGTTGATACAAGGTGCTCATGTTTGCTCATGTTACAAAAATTATTGCTGCACACAGAGAGAATTAATTTAGCAGCAGCTTGTCTGACAAAAACAGTGAAGGTAGGTTAAAGTTCACCACCGGCGAGGAAACCTAACACACTTGTTCCATAAGATGAATCACGAGAACTGATGTCTCGTATTCATCGGTCTGAAAATGTGTTTGCCTTGATGAGATGAAATCTTTTGGTGCCGTTCTTGGGCCCACCTTTTTAAAACCAGAATAATCCAAGTGTTCCAAGTGTTCGGATGCATAAAGAGGACAGGGTGGTGTGTAATGGCCTGCTTGTTTACAAGCCTTAAATGAAAGTGAATCATGCAGCACAATCACAACATCGACATTATCAACATTTTTCGTTCTGAACTTACACTGGGAGGGCTGCTGGTGATGTCCACCAGCTCTTCCATTGAAACCACTATTGCTTTCCTATTTTGGGTCTTAATACAACATGAAAACCATACAACACACACACACACACACACACACACACACACACACATTTCTCTACACTTACTTCTGCCAGTGGCTCCTTCTGCCTGGTGTGGTATTAGAAAGAGGGGCACACACACACCAGATAATAAAATACAACTAATCTGTCACTTGTGCCCTTAGCAAGTTTTCCATTGCTTGTATGCAGCAGGTTTGTCCTGCAGCTGATAATAGGAGGACTAGACTAAGTGCTTTCACTGGGACTACACTGCATTTTATCCTCCCCAGAATCTCAGATAAGTTTGAATTTTAATTGGAGTTCCCTAGGGCACCTCTTCTTCTTTTTTTTTTTTTCCCTAAATCTGCCACTGGTTGCATTTATTAAGCGTTATATCGTACGTCTTTTATATCTGTATATTTTATCTGATTTGAATGTAAAATAGGATCTGGCATTGTGTCTCTGAGACGAGATGTACAATCCATTTCCTTTCAGTTGTATCTTGGTAAAGAGACGTGTAAATATTTTAGTCATCAACACTCTGTTGCCTATTTGCATGTGGCAAAATGCTACAACAATGTACTTTTACACTTGAGTAACATGATGCTGGTAGCAGGATATCGTCCTGTAATCAGTGGGCTGCTGCTTTGAGCATTAGTATAATATTTTACTATTATATAAATAATAATAATGGTAATAATTTATGCACACTTTTGGCTTCTACACATAAAAAACAACTGTATAATGTAAACAAAACAGAACAAAGACAGCAGTAAAAAAATTAACAAAACAAACAGTGCATAGAAAAAAATGGACTCCATCCATCCATCCGTCCGTTCATTCGTTCATTTATTTATTTGTCATTCCTTCATATGAATGTAAACTCTTAACTAACGACTGGACTACATATTCAACTCTATGAAATCTGTTAAATATTTACATGTAGTAAAAATATCGGTTTAGATC